CATTTACTAAGATGGCTACTTTGAATGGGGAAGTAGCCCTTTTGGTACTTTTATTGCAGTAGCGTATAGTGGTTAAGTCTGGGCTGAGACGTACATGATTTTGATTCCCTATCCCTGTCTTCAGTGAACTCAAGTAGTTATTAGCCTCTCTGATCCCACAGGAGACCCTGCCTGTCTGTCTGTTACTCTCTCAGGCTAGAGTTACTTACTCCCCAGGCTACAGTACTGTGGCGTCAGCTTAGCTCACAGCAACCTCAAACTCTTGGGCTCAAGTGATCCTCTTTCCTCAGTCTCCCGAGTAGCTGAGACTACAGGCACCTGCCACAGCACCCAGCTAGTTTTCAGTAGAGACAGGGTTTTGCTCTTGCTCAGGCTGGTCTCCAACACCTGAGCTCAAGAGATCCCCCTGCCTCAGCCTCTCAGAGTGCTAGGATTATAGGCGCAAGCCACCATTTCCAGCCCACAGAAGGCTTATTAACATAGCTTTGTTCAGGAGCAGAAGTTGGCCAGATGCAGATGTGGAAGCTTAGGAAGTGACCCAGGTACTCACATAGTTTATGAGACATTATGTACCAAGTGGATCACATTGAAAATGTGTGGCTGAACTTCTTGTTTCTGCTTTCCCAAGTAGGGCTTGGGGCATTCTGTGTTGTTTGAGTAGTCAGAACTCCTGGCCTGAGGTGTTTTGTCCCTGCTCTTCAGGATGTAGGACTTTCTGGTTTTGCCATTGTTGTAGGTTACATGGTCTAAAGTTTAGAGAGGATAAAATAAATCTATTTTGAAAATGATCTCTTTCCCCTGGCCAGTTGCTGCTCTTAATTCATTCTTTCAGATCTCCATTGCTTCAGTTCTTCTACACACAAGCAACACATTATTAAGATGGGAGTGTAGTGTGACTCAGCGTCCAGCCTGGAGTGGAAAGTTCACACTCTGGTCATCTTGAATGTGGGCACAGTCATGTGTGCTGAGGGTTCCCTCTCTTAACAGTAGGAATGGTCTCTTGTGGAGAGACACTCAGGTCGTGAAACACTGCTCAAGAGCCTTTGGGTAAATTAAGAATTTGTTTCCTATTCCAAGTCACTTATTTTTTCTGTAATTTTAAGCTTAGATTTAAAATTTTTTTTGGCACCTTTATAGAAAGAGGGATGGCACATTCTTGAATAGTATTTTGGGTTTTTCTTTTCTCTTGTGGATATTTCTGTTCTTCTAGAAATAGAGGGTGAGAAAGCCGGTACTCACTAACACACCGTTATCAAGTAGTTTTCCTTGGGTGAATACTCCCCTTTTATTTGCATTTTCAGCATTTTGTGGCTTGACGTGAAAAGCCCCAGACCAGCCAACATCAGAAATGAATGCGGCTGTGGCTGGGGTCTGTGCGGTTGCCTCCGCGCCCGGGGATATGCTCTGATTTTTTCAGGAACCTCCAGTGACTGTACTCTGCTAATATACCTTACATCCTTATGAGGAGTGCTCGGCATGAACGGCAGACTGGCTCTATTTGAACCAGCAGCCACAGGCCGAGCTCGTTGCATAATGTAGTCTGATTACCAATAAAGGAATGTAATTGAATTTGAAATTTCTGAGGAGGGGGAGGAAAAACCAATCTCTAACAGAAGTGTTCTGTTAATGAACGTGATAGACGCCTTTGTTGGGCGCGGGGGCTGCGTGGCTCGTTTCCCTGGCCATCCGCCCTGCCTCCTCTTCCCTGAAAATATTTATGGAGTTCCAGTGCTTTAGTAAGTGGAGAAGGGGGCAGCAGGGTGAGGCACAGCAGTTAAACACGTTGTTCATTTTATTTCTGGGCGGAGGGGAAGAGGGACGTACAGCACTCACTTTCTCCTCTGTGGGAGCCTAACACTGTGCTCTTTTGTTATTACTCTCTTTCTCTAGGCATTAAGTGTAACTGAAACCCTGATTAAACCCTTGGAAAAATTCAGAAAAGAGCAACTGGGAGCTGTAAAGGTTTGTGTCTTGTTTGATGATACTTGTAAATAGGAACCATGGAGGCCCCTGCTGCTTCACTGTCATTATACTCACCTTGGCAGTTTCCAAGCAGGTGCTGGGGCAAACCATCTGTCGTGGTGTGTGTTAAATATACTTTTTCCCCTCTGGGGTGGGGGAATATGGGCCTGGAAAAGAAAACAAAAACACCTGGACAGGGTAGTAAAACCTCTAGTGATCTCCTTTGGCTACACGCTTCCATATAAAGTTTTAAAAATATCTTCAACCGAACAACACATTTACTCTGAACCAAAGGATCTTATCACTGTAGGGAGTGTAGTTCTTTGCAGGCACTCCTCAGTTTTATGAAGGAGCTTAGCATTTCAACAGTGTTAGGTTAGATAGATCTGCTGCCATTGAAACTAGGACGAGGATGTTAAGTTATTGCCATATAATTTCCTCCAATTCAACACACATGTATCGAGCTTCTGTTACATGCCACTATTGTTACAGTATTGTGTATTGCATAATGTTGTGCTGGTTATTTAGAGATGAGCGAACCACAGGTTCTGCACTCAGAGACCCAGGATTTCGCCAGGATTTCCAGGAATCATGTATGCTTTTGCCACAGGGAGCCTAGGTTATATTTAGCAACATTGGGAGTTTGCGATCCAAGCTTTGAAATTATCCCAGAGAAATAATTTCCACCCATCTTGAAGCTTGCATTTTGAGTATGTTCTTGAGGGAGGAGAAAGTAACATTTGCATGTTGTTGACCATTTTTGGCTTGGCCCAAGGAGAAGAGAAAAACATCCATTTTAAATAGGGAAGAGAGTTTTTATATTCGCATTTTTTTTTCTTTTTCTGCACATGGCTGGGGATGTGACATTTTTTCTTTATCTTCCTAAAAGAAACTATTCAAATCTCTTGGTACAAGTAAACATTATGGCCTCAATAGCTGTAACTACACACAAGAGCTCAGAGAGTTCTAGGTTTTTAGTTGCTATTTATGGGATTAATTCTCCCTTCAGTGATTTGTTAAAATGTTAAACATTTCTTTTTGGCATAATACTCTAAAGGTTTTCATGAAGGGTTCTGAATTGATGTTCAGGCCGTGTAGACAGCGGGAAGTCATGGGAGCACCATGCCAGACTCCTTGCTTTGATTGTCTGCTGAGCTGCAAGCCGCTTTGCAGTAGGAGACTGGAGGTCAGATTTTACCTCTGACTTTGACCAAGTAATTGGCCTTAGTTTCTAATCTGCAAAGTGAAGGACTCAGAGATGTGTCTATTCTATTTTGTAGTTTGATGATTCTGTTTGCTCTGATCACATCTCCTTACGCTGTTACATGTTGGTTATTTCTCTCTTAAATTATCATTGGCAGGTGCTGTATGTAAAAACACCCATTTCTTATTTTTCTTGAATTGGTGGGGGTACATGTCAAGATTATATTTTGGAAATGAGAAGTGAGAGTGAGTTAATTAATGCATATGTTTTCTTTTTATTTCCCAACCAGTCTACTAGGTTTTTTTTTTGCGATGGAGTTTCACTTTGTTGCCCTTAGTAAAGTGCCGTGGTATCCTAACTCACAGCAACCTGAAACTCTTGGACTCAAGGGATCCTCTTGCCTCAGCCTCCCAAGTAGCTGGGACTATAGGTGCCCACCACAACGCCTGGCTATTTTTAGAGACAAGATCTCTGGCGGCTTAGGCTGGTCTAGGAATTCCTAAGCTCAAGTGGTCCACCTGCCTCGGCCTCCCAGAGTGCTGGGATTATAGGTGTGAGCCACTGGTCTCAGCAGCCTACAGGGTTTGATAAATTTCTGGCCTCAAATCTTCTGATGACTCCTTTCCTCTCACCCTTAGCTTTCCCAGCTTCTAATGTTATACTTGTTTAGAGCATATCATGCAAAGCAACTTACAAAATAAGTTCATGCAGTGATGAAAAAATGTCTTTAAAAGTTGACCACATCAGAATTTAGATGTCAGGGTCAACATTTTCATCTTCTCCTTCCTCTTCTCCTTTTCCCCGTCTGGTACTGTGTCCTTTCCCTGTGCTCCGAAGCTCTTTCTGTTCCTTTCCTCCTGCTTTGTCCGGTTCCTGAAGGCCCAGTTACGTATTCGACTGTGGTTTAGAGTAATGTAAGCAGCCAGGTGGTTTTGTAAGCTGAAGTTTTAAAAAAAGCCCCCAGCTGTTCTGTTCTTCTGTTTTGCCTCGGTTTGGATATGTTCTCCTTGAGTCTGTTTGCTTTGGGCTTGTCTCTCCACTTTGTAGGCTCTGCTGCATTTTCTCACTTGCCACTGGGTCCCACCCTATGTTAAAGAAGCCCATTTGCTGTCAGGACACAGCTTGTTCCCTGAAGCATGGTCTCAACTTACCAGTTTTTTCAGGGCCTAGGTCAGTTCTTACCTTATGTGGAGCTCTTGAGCCTCCCCTGGGGAGCTGGGCATTCGTTGTCAAGTGTCCCAGGACACTTTGTTGGTAGCCCTTGCTCATCAGATACAGATTTAGGAAAGTAATACAGGTACCAAATAATACAAGAGCCAAGTAGATTGAGGAAAAAGTCTGTGACATACCCGAACAAGGTAAGACGTATGGGGGTGGGGACATAAAATTGCTCTTTCGATCATTTGACCAATCAAGTAATGAAAATGTGAGTTCAGGCAAGCAGCGGTATGCAGATGTCAAGTACACACAATTCTCCGTGATAGCGTCCCCCCCCCCAGTGCTGCCTTGGAAGGGCTCAATTGTAATTTTACCCAATAAAAGTAAAAGTATAAACAGCAGTGTTAACAAATGCTCATTTTATAGATTGACTTATCACTTAAGCCTGTCCCCACTGGGTTGCCCAGCCTGTAGGCTGTAGATTGATACGGGTATTGGTCCATGGTCTGTTGGGAACCAGGCTACTCAGCAGGAGGTGAGTGGCACCTGAGCTCTGCCTCCTGTCAGACCAGGGACAGCATTAGATGCTGGTAGGAGCATGAGCCCTGCCCTAAACTGTGTGTGTAAGGGATCTGGGTTGCATACTTCTTATGAGACTCTTAATGCCTGGTGATCTGAGGTGGAGACGTAATGAACTAGAATCATCCTGACCTGCACATGACCCCTCCTCCCCCCATAGTCCCATGGATAAAGTATCTTCCATGGAATTGGTCCCTGGTGCCAAAAAGATTAAGGACCTCTCTTACCAGACCTCCTTTATCCTAAATTTACTTCTTTCTTTCCTTTTTTTTTTTGTAGAGACAGAGTCTCATTTTATCGCCCTTGGTAGAGTGCCGTGAGGTCACACAACTCGCAGCAACCTCCAACTCTTGGGCTTAGGTGATTCTCTTGCCTCAACCTCCCAAGTAGCTGGGACTACAGACGCCTGCACAATGCCCAGCTATTTTTATGTTGCATTTTGGCTGGGGCCAGGTTCAAACCTGCCACCCTCGGTATATGGGGCCAGTGCTCTACTCACTGCCCCTACCCCAAATTTCTTTCCAAGACTATGTCTAATGCATACATTTTATTTTTTATTTTTTTGGCAGTTTTTGGCCAGAGCTGGGTTTGAACCCACCACCTCTGGCATATGGGACTGGCACCCTACTCCTTTGAGCCACAGGCGCCTCCCTAATGCATACATTTTACATAAAACTGATGTCCCAAGATTCTGAGAGTGACCGCAAAATATGGGCAAAACCCAAATTTGTCTGAATAATTTTTCAAATGATGTTTGAAAAAGCAGAAACTGTGTTGATTTAATGACATGATTTTCATTGAGCAATAAAACACTTCTTAGTACTGATCACATGGCATAGTATGAGAGGCTCTGGGCAATAACTGTGAATTAAAACACTAGCAACTCTGTGTGAGTCTACCAAATAAAAAAGCAATAAAAATGTAGTGAAAATTGCCATCCTAGGGGTGAGCATAGGTGCTCTGGAATGTACTTTACTGTCTCAGCTTTGGGTCATGGGTGAGTTTTCCAGGAAGACTTGATTCTTCCTGGTTTTAATCCTTTCTTAGTGTTTTAATTAGCTATGTGATTTGGGGCAAGTGATCTGAGACCTCTAAGCCTCAGTTTCCTGGTCTGTAAAATGAGACTGATGATTTCTCAGAAGGTTATTGTGAGAATTAAGTGAATTTGATAAGGTACTCCGGGTGTCTGTGGTCCTTGGGCATTTTGTGACGGTCACTTCCTTATCCTGTTTATGGCTTGCTCCCTGTCTACTGGCCAAACCAGAATCGCTCAGGTTTCTGTCCATTCTCTGCAGGCTTGGCTCGAGGGTGATGTGACAGAGCACTGTGGACTATGACCCTTCTCGCCAAGTAGTGCTAAGGTGCTGGTTTAGTGACTCTGAATCCCTGGTGGCTCTCTGTGTTGGTGCTGGTGCAGTCCTGTGCTGGCTGGTTCACTTGTGCTGACAGATGTCACCTGGGCACCTACTGGATGTGAAGTCCTCTGTGGGGAGAGAAGCTGAATCCTCTTCTCTTTAGAGTTGCTAGGAGCTTATAGGAAAGGGTGGAGTAGGGTTGGATAAGTAGAAAGAGATGACATTGGTGTAGTCAGGGTGCAAAGGGGATTGAGGGGGAGGGTGCTGCCCCCCACTGGAACATGGAGGGAATGCTTCACAGAAGACTCCCGGGCACCCTCCTGGGCTGGAGGGCATTGGCTGACCATGGGAAGATAAGACCAGGAAATCACACACTCTGGTTAACGTGGATGCCCAGGATTGGATTTTAAAAAGCATTCCTGCCAATTCTATGACATGTAGTATGAATCTTGTTTCCTGTGTGTGTGGTAGAGAAGGAGTTGGAATCTCTCTCTCTCTCTCTCATTTTTTAGATAGAGCCTCACTCTGTTGCCCAGACTAGAGTACAGTGGCATCATCATAGCTCACAACAACCTCAAATTCCTGGATTCAAGCGATCCTCTTGCCTCAGCCTCCCGACTATCTCAGACTACAGGTGCCTACCACCATACCTGGCTAATTTTTCTATTTTAGAAAAAAGTTTTTCGGGTGGCGCCTGTGGCTCA